CAGCGCAGCCTGGGCACAAGGCCGGGCGGGGGCTGCAGGACACCCGGCCGCCTCCCGGGGCTCCTCGTGTGCAGGCGGCCGCAGGGGCTAAGCAGCCCCTCTTTTAAGAAATCTCCACATTTTGTTATTGAGGACACGTTTTACTCGTGTGCATTTTGTTGCCTGCAAGTATAAATCTTTGAAGTGCAAGTTATAAATATTAAAGCTTAAATGCATAGGGGGAGTATGTGTATCAAATTTTAGAATAAATTTATTCCAACCCAGTTTGACACACACACACACACGCCTAATGTATTCAAGATGCACTTAAACAAATTAGGAAACAGTTATTTCATTTTACAATGGCAGGTGCCTGTTTCGGAGAGTGGTGAATGACTTAACAACAATAATTAGCATATTTATATAACACATTGCTGTTTATACGTGAGTTTTTGAATCTAAGAGGCATTAAATCAACATATAATACCATTTCCTGACCTGGAGTGATTCCTGGAAGTATGAAGCAATGACTTGTTTGGTTTTTTCACCCCCATTCAAGCTACATCTGTGCGTATATTCAGAGTCTGAAACATGTAATCCTGCCTCAGAGAGAGTGGGTGCATGTTAACAACACAATGTGTCTTCAACTGACATCTGGTTGCAAAACAAAAACAAACTGCTATTAAGGACTTTTTTTTTTTCCATTTTTCCCTCCTTAGTTCTTTTCTTCCATCTTCCTCTTATCTCTGGAAGCTCCATCCATATTGGAATAGGCAGCAATTATTCCAATCTCTGTAAGTAATCTCTTTTTTTCCTTCTTTTTTTTTTTCTTAACTGCATTAATAGCATGCCTTGCAGAGTCATGTACAGCTGTAGGAATATTATATTTAAAGTCCTCTAGCAGATAAACATCAATCCATTAAAAAGCAAATAGCTTCCTGACTAAGAAAACAACTGAGGTAAACAGAAACAGACTTAACCTTGTGATCTTTACACTTACAAAACTCAGAAATGAGTGAATTGTCTGAAATAGACCATAAAATTTAGTGTCAGCTACAAGTACTCCAATATTTCCTTTTTTTAAAAAAAAAGAAAATCCTCCTTTTCAGCATTTTCTCCGACAAAAACAAATTAGCACATAGCTCTTAAAACTGATTTATGAAATGAGCACACTGACATCAGTCAAAATTTATATCATTTTGACACTCACTAGTGAAACAAATGTGGCTAAAAATTACTTCCAGTCATTGAAATAAAACAATGCCTGACATTTAACTTCCTTCTACTCTACTTTTTATGACTAACTTTTGTAGTTATTACATGAAAGGTTTTCTGAAAAGGAAATATAACATTATAGGAGCCAATTCTGCCCATGTCACTGGTCCTGTTTTGGCAGAAAACCACATGTATGCAGGGAAGCAGAGTAGTTGAAAGAACGCGTAATGATAAAACTATATGCACAACAATTAAAAAACAACCAAGAAACATCTCAGAGCAAGTGCTGCAGCTCAGGAGAAGCCATGTTGAAATGTTGCTACCAAAGTCATAATCTGCTTACAACTTTCAAGATAAAATTCCCATCATGGGTGAAAATCACATTAAATCTGAAGTTTAAAGAAAGAACAGGGAAAAAGTTACTTACTTTTGAAAATACATAAAGGAACACCACAGTCAAGCAGCTACTATTGTTCACAGACTAGAAATATCATCAGGCTTAATGTTTGCTGCCACAACCTACCAACTAGGAGAAATTACTCATAGTGTAAAGATCAGCTTCTATCAACACCAGGTATTTGTAGGATCTAGCCCTAAGATAACTTTGGTAACTAGGAGCAGAGTTTGGTGGGTAAAGGTGAAGACAGTGCAAAACCAATTAAATGCAGACTTTGTCTTTCAGATTGCCTGGTAATTGCTTAAACTTCTAGGCAAATCATGTTAAAGTTGGGCTCAAGACCAAGTGCAAAATCAGTAGCTGCTGATGAAAATTGTTCACCCTCTGGCTACGTAATAGATGACCAACTGGCATCATCTAAGTCTGAGAAAATAATACAAAAATGACAGGAAACTGTAAATGCTTACATGAGTATGTCATGCTTATGTGTGGCAGTCTACCCATTTATTAGTGAATTGCCTGTAGACTTGGCAAAAAATATTTGTAACATGCTTATGTTGTTACAGGTTAATATTGCAAAAATACTGTTTAGATTATTTTTACACAGAGCTGTTGGTTTTACATTGTGTATGAAATGACATTTTATGGCACTTCATTCCGTATGTAGCCAGTGTATGTTTAGTTTGGGGATCCATATCAGAATAACATCATTTCTTACCCCCATTCCTTGCTTTCATGTTCCTTGACCCTTAAACTGAGATTTTTCCCTGCCACTGCCCCTCCGAGAGACCACTTCTTCATGGCAAGACAACTTTGTATTGCATTAACTTTAGATTAGTAGAGTTTTGTAATAGAACTGTTGCAGCAGACAGTTCAGAGCAATCTGAGTATTGCCCTAATTTTCAAATTGCAAATAGACTGCCTACGTCTCTTCAAAATTAAGTGTTCGTAGGACGATATTTTTGTTTTGCTTTGGCCTTAACTGAGGACAGTTCATTCAGGTCCAACGTTCTGGCCTTCTACACAAGGGCTATTGTGTTTAATTACTGTAATGCCTAAACTGTGAAATGTTCTACTGGCAATAACAGATAATGTTAACACAGTACCAGGTGGGCATTAGCCCAAAAAAACACTAAACTGTGGCTTCTGTTATGCTTTTATAGTGAACGTGGAAAGAGACTGGTGTTACCCCAGGCTGTTACTATGTACTACATGAAGGACACTACACAGCAGATCCTTCAGCTGTACAGAATTCACATATGTCAGGTACTAGACCTGTTTACCCTCCCAGCACTGAATTTCCTGAACAAGTGCAAAGGCCCAGGAGCCAAACTGCAGCTCTTCTCATACAGAGTCAGCTGTGCCTTGAGAATACTGCTCTTGTACATGACGGAGGGGTAAAGTCGCACAAGCAAAGTCCAGGCAGGCTAATAGGAATGGGGCTAGGTGACTTCAACCACAGGGTACCAAGGCAGGTTGACAGTCTCAGCATTTAATGAAGCTTTCTAATCAGCAATAAAATTTGCAGTTAGCTTTGTTGCTTTAGATGTTTCTTTTTCAGAGAAACACTGGATTTTCTTTGCAGAGTGTTTTTAGCTTTTGGTCAGGTATGTCTGTTTTTTAAAGTAAAAAGTCAAAATTATCTCTAGAAAATATTGATGGCAATGAGTGTATATCATTCTTAATCAGCAGTCGTGAACCTTGGTCACTTCTAACACTTAAATGAAGAGGGCCCAAAACTGCCAGAGAAGTAAAAAGGCAGACAAACATTTCTAGCCAAACTGCCTTCCCTTCCTGCATACTGCTGCCTCCTCTACCTCCTCCCCAGCTGTTCTGACATTCATCTCTGAAGAAATTGATTGTAAGCACAGGTAAAAAGCAAACAAATCAACTGATTTTTCAAGCAAATATCCAGATTGCCATATCAGCTATTATAAAAGGATAGTTATTTTACAACTATTAAGTGACTATATAGTTATGTATTTAAATATTAGTAAATCTTTATGATATCTGTATTGAACTATGTCCCTGCTGTTACATCTAACAGCACAAGGAATGTCCAGAGATACGTAAAACGTTCATTTGGATGCATGAGTCGGGAAAAACAGCACTGTAAAATATGCAGACAGCGTTTTAAAATCCAGCATTAAGATTCCTGTGTTACAACCTTTATAGATCTTACAAACTTACACTTTCTAAACAGAATAACCTCACAAAATTAAGAAAGAACAAAAGCATTCGTATTGTAGCTTTCCTCTTTCTGCATGAAAACCCACCTAAACCAGACACACTTGCTACAAAGGAAAAACACAGAAAATCCTGATCCTAAAACCAGTAGGCCCTTGAGTAGACACTTTGGATGCTGTCCCTCAGCATTCGGCTCCCAGGCAGTGACAGCACAGCTGGCTGCCAGCTGTGTTGTCATTGACTACAGCACTGCTAGCTGTGCTCCGAGACCCCGGGACAATGGTGGAGGGTTGAATAAACTTCTACTCATAAATAAGGAAATCTTTCTATACACAGCAAGAATAAAATGCTCTCTCCACTGCTACAAAGTCTGTAGGTCTTGTTCTTGGTGGCAAACCCTGCATTCTTCCCAGAACAGTCTCCAAACTCAGCCAGTTTAAGAGTTGTCTAGAGGCCAGTACTCAATGAACATAATTCCACATTCATATGCACAGGTGGAGCCCAGTGCCTCAGTTCAAAGAGGTGAAGAAACTGGGAAACTGGGTGATTCTGGGTCTGTGCAAGTATTTTACAGTGGTTCTGTTGGCTGCACCAGATCTGATACATAATACAGAAAGACAAAAGATTGCTTCAAGCCTGTGTGTGACAGCTTTGCTGTGAGCTGGTGTCCTGGAGAGAGTTCATTATGCCAGGAAGTTTAAGAGACAGACTTACAGATCTGCACCCCACAGCAGGATCTTCCCTTCCACTTGTGGGATGTCTTGAGAAGTGCCAGGGATCAAAGCACCAATATCTACCACCTGTTACCAGTCTCTCTCTTCCCTACCAGAGAATGCCAGGAACCATGTAGGTCTGTGATGCCAGGCAATTAGGGAAACACGTGCTGTCCCTTCTTCTCTAAGTGCACAGCAAAGTTTAATCCCCAGAATATCTAGGTTTTCCTTCACTGATTTTTTTTCCTCGAAGTGTGGATGTTTCCTGAAGGGACCAAGGAGGCTCCCACCTCCCTTTCCTTAAAGGCACACCCCATATCTCCCTACAGTTTTCCACATCGCACTTCAGGCTGTAGTGACTCCAGCTGTGTAGAAGGGGAGGATGTTCAAATGCCTCCAGAACCACACCTCAGAATTCTTTGTTCTTCTCCCTTGATAAGTCATATCCTGTTCAGTATTTTTCTGCCATCAATTTATTTTATGATGGCTTAAAATCATCTCCTACATCAGGAGTGATTTTTTCACCTTTTCATTTATTAGGCTGGAATCTGCACTAGGGAGGTATCAATTTCTCTCCAAGTGTGACAATCTCTTATCCTCCTTTATGAGGATGTAGGCTGACAACTCCAAATCATTCATTTCCACTGTAACTACTGACTTAATGCTTTAGTTTCAGCAGCTTCTCCCGACTCCTACCTCCCATTACTGATTTTTTTTTTTTTGGTGGAGAGAATAATAAATTAGAATTAATTCTGATGCAGCTACTATGCAAAAGGACAGATTAGAGTCCAATGCTGCTCTCATCAAATAAATAGAAACAGTGCTTTAGTTTCTGAAGGGGATCTGATCAGGTGGTACAAGCAGCCATACTGAGAAACCTCTCAGAGAAAAGTAGAGGGAAGATACGTTTTAGAGGTGCTGAGCGCCATTAACTCTCGCAGCCTGACATTTCATTATTATATAACGATTGTATCTGAGCGAGATGTTCAAGCACCTAAAAACGCAGTAGATGCCCAGATGCCTTTATGCAAAGCATTTTTCAAGGAGAGGTGGACACCTAATTGATTATGAGCTTTTGTAAAGCCTACTTACGAGTTTCTATCTTCAGAGGCTTTGAAAATTTGGCCTCAAATTCAGAGCTGGCAGAAGCAAGCAACTCAGTTGGCTTTGACAACATTTATGCAAACAGCAATTTTAGCTCCAAGACTTAATACATATCACACTAGAACTTCCTGAAATCCCTCAGACTGTTTTTTAAAATTAATGACATTATATGACATTG